AGAGGAGAGAAGAGAGAGGAAAGAAGAGATAGGAGAGAGAAGAGAGGAGAGAGAAGAGAGGAGAGAGAAGAGAGAGGAGAAAAGAGAGAGGAGGAGAAAGAGGAGAAAGGGATGACCCCGGACCGACGTCTCCTAAGTGGTTTCGCCCATGGGGTGTCATCATCAGTGCATGTACGTGTCACGTGTCTGCATTCGGGTTCATGGCTCCTATCTGGTTGAGCGGATTTAGGTGTTTGGATTTCTGCCCGCAAACTTCGGATCGCTAGCAATAGCCAGCAACAGAGGGATCTTTTCCGCTTGATGTTCTGGCTTTACAGCTTGGCAGCTGTATTGTAGGGACAGCTTTAGCATTTTGCCTCACGCACAATTTGGCTGCTGGGTGCTCGGCAATCTAGGGGAGATTGACAGGACAAGGACACGTCACACAAATTCCCTGCATCCGCTCCCAGGCAATCTACTCTGGATTCCTGCTAGTCCTGAACTTGGACATCGTGGTCTCAACCGCAGACCGGTATGCCCAAACGCTCGGTGCAGACGAGGCTTGAAGTCAGTTACCATTGGCTGATGGTTCAGCTGTAGACTCCAAAGCTGAACGTGTGAATTGCTTGAGTGCCGAAACTCCGAAACGCCTTGCATGCGAGATCAAGAATGACCCTGCAAGGCATTCAGTGGGCTTGTCATTGCCCTCACGCCGCTCTTCCAGGGTCTAATTGGAATCCCATTAAATTACTGGATGCTTCAGTCAGGGGCGTCTGTGAAGACCTTGCTGATCCTCATGGCCTCAGGCCGCGATGGGCCAAGATTAAAGCGACCGGAGTTTAGCTAGCTTGCTAGCTTCTATTCGGGGTTTCACGACCAGTTTCCATTCAGGGTCGAGCAATTCGGACATTTCCAGGCAGCATCCTGGGAAACATCGTCTATGCCTTGGCCGGACTCATGCGCTCCAAGTTTGCCATTCTCATAGCGCGCACCCTCATCGGGATTTGCCAGTGCCAGCTCGGCGGGCCAATCTACATCGCGAAAGCCGTGGGCGTCAAGAAGAGGACGAAGGTCTGCAGCAGTTCAGATGCTGTGTATGAAGCAGTTTTCCAACCTTAACGTGAGCTACCGTTTTCTATGAACAGCTGCTCTACATCTCCATGCTTTGCCTCATAAACAGCCCAGAGCTTGCAACCACCTTGATCCATAGCAGCTTTACACACTCTGAGAATGTCCCTGGCCACGCATCATGTCGGAGCGAGATCCCAAAAGGCCACATGTGCCAGAAGTTAGCCCGATATTGAAAGCAATTGGATGCTACCAAACAGCTGCAATACTGCAAAGAGTGAGGCGAGATCTAGACCTTGCGGGCAGAACCTTAAAGCCGCAAACCCCCGAACTACAGAAGCCTGGCGGAACATCTGCAGATCATGTTTGTTTTCTCCGCCGTCGCGACCTTCGCTTTGACAGCGGCGCCGCTTTTGTCTGCGCTGCTGGAGACCCTGGGCCCAAGTCAGGGCTCTGGTTTGGGAGTAGCTCTTAGCAGTATTGGCCCCGGGCCCTTATTGGGGTTTAGGCTCTTGAAAACTCAAGCCGCGAATTTCTTGAGAGTCTCTTGGCCAACCTGTTTAGAAGGGGTGTTCTCGACGCTCAGCGTGTTGCGACGAGCTAGCGATTCCCTTCAATTGATTGTGTGTGTCTGTGTCTGTGTTTGACGAACCATGCAAGATGCCAAGCGAATTCATGGGGTTCTGAGACGAATACAAATTTCAACTTGCAGCTGGCTTGGGTAGCTTTGATCCTTACATGGCAATACTTGCAGATAGATAGTTTGGCTGACCAGAGCTTTGGGACACGTGGCTTTCTGGAAGCATGTTCGCGGGCATCCGTTTTCTAGGTGCTGTTTTGTTTAGGTGCACCTTCAGCCGTCAGTCATTGTTACTATTGCAGCTTGGAACCCAGGACCTTCGTCAAGGAGCTGAGGATCGAAAATTTGGTAGTGGACTCGGACACCATTCCAGGCTTCTGGGTCTCATCATGGAATTGTTTGTGCGAGCAGGGTAGCAACCAACATGACCATGAAAAGCCCGCAGAAAGATGCATTGGACCACTGCAAGCCTGACCCAAACTCCCCTGCGGAAACGTCAAATGTTGCTTGACCGAAGTCCAAGTTCTGTGATGGCCCGAACTTATCTTCAGGCTGGTTCATGGCTCTGGTCTACTACCTCTTCCTGCTGAAGGTCGTTTTCTTCTTTGAGAATCCAGACTCGTCACTCGGTCCGCTGGGCAGCTTGCAAAACATGAGGCACACGAACGATTGCAAATGGCGGTGGATCCATTGATGATTTCTTCTTCGATTGTTCACTTCGTCTTCTAAAACAAGACAAGGCATCACATCAATTGGCGCAGCAGGCTTCAGGAACTGGGAGTGCTTGTGTTTTTGTACGCGTTGTCCAAACTGTGACTGAGGCCAAAGCTAGCTGAGACAAGTGCTGAGTCCCAAAAAGCGTCCGGTGAGTCGATGTGGACAACTGGCTTCTTCTTATGCATGACGGCAGGCTGCTTGGCAAAGTAAGGGCTTTCCCGGTTTTTGCGGCCGAACATTTACACTCTGAATTCCTGAAACAGGGATGGTGGAGTTATTGTGAAGCTTCGTAAAGATGAGGAGTTCTGTTCAAGTGGTTGATGCACACCCCGCCAGGCTTTACAAGCACAATGACGAACTCAGTTGGCATTGTCTACTTCGTGAAGCTTGCACAGCATACCTGGGGCTGGAGCGTGCCCGACACCGCTTTGGCCGCTGAGCCGCCAAATACCTTGCTTGTCTCAGCACCTTTCGACCTATGAGCCACAAAGTAAGGTCCTTGCAGGCCTAATGTTCGTCGTATGCCTGCTGTCCCTGGTGAGCAGCCGCCTTTCGAAACTCGTGGAAGACAGGAGCGCACCTCTTGAAATGAGGGTTCCATGTTTACAGCAGAATGGTTTGTGACGTTCAGCGGTTGTGGTACACACGTAGATTCCTCAGGGCCGCCTCATATGGGAGTTTACCAAAAACTGGTTCCCTGATATCTGGATGTCCTCACATGCTTTCCTCTAAGAAAGGCTATCGTCTGAAATTTCCCCTATAAAGTTGTAGTTGACATTTAGACTTGTAGCTCTTCTCCGGATGCGGGAGCACGCGAATCCCACCTGCAGCAACGAGTGCAGAAATTTGGGTCATCGTTTGGAGGTAAAAACCAAACACGCAGAGGAAAACCATGCGTGAAAGTCACTGCAGTCAGGCCTTGCTTATGAGCGCAAAACTGGCCAGTATGAGCAAGTGCCGTAAGAACCGTTGGGTCATATTTGCAGATACTGTAGTACGTGAGAATGTAGCTTCCTCAGCCGAATGAACTTGCGCAGTCATGGTCATGAGCCACTGTCAACATTAGCCTTTTGCTGTTGCAAGTCTGCATGCTGTTGCCGCTGAGGTGTCTGCTGAGGGCTAGGGGAAAGGGCTACAGAATACACCTCATCAGATTCCATCCCTCCAAAACCCCTAACTCACAAAAAGCCTGCATCCCAGGGCTTTTCAGCACTAGATCTTGAGCCATCATGTCGATGGCATAGTTTATGGTTAAGTCGCATGCCACCTCGGTACACTTCTCTGAAGTGTGTCATCCTTGCGCATGGGTCATCCGCATGAGCATTCACACTCCTCCTTGGTCGCTTCTGGCCAGGAGCGAACATCAAAACTATGCAATGCTGGACTCGACCCCATGCGCGCCTCAAAGTTTTTTGCGCAGTACTAACCTGTGGGCTGTCCACACGCAACCCGAATTCATCCCGCACCTACGGACCACAATGAATGAGCAAAGAGCTGAACGGAGCTGAAAACTGAGTGGCACAAGGAATGCACAGCAGCTCCAGCAACTTACGCAGGAGATGTCATGACGCGTAGCTTCGTACGCCCTTGCTCTAATGCTTTCCGGCCCAAGACCTTCGTCAAAGGGTCTGCTGGGATATCTGTTCCGCTCATGTACTTGATCGCTACATCTTGTGAAGATGCCTGGTCACGGATCCAACTACACCGCAAACCAAAATGGCGAGTGCGAGTAGCTTGATGATCATGGTGGCTCTTCAAGAGATTTGCCAAACATGCCGCGTTATCTCCAAAAAGGGTTGTTTCAGGCCGTGCGCCAGTCAGGGCTTCAAGAGTTCCTCGGATCCGAAAGCCAATTTCAAGCGCACAAGCCCCTGCATCCACTTCCGCTTCAAAAGCGCTCCAAGCGGTTATGCTTTGTCTTGCTGACTTCCACGAAAGGACATGTGTTCCCCATGTTACCAATGCACCAGTACGGCTGCGACTTGCACCAACACCTAGTGAAGCATCTCCGAAAGCACTCAATGGATCACGCATGCCATTCCTCGTTGCCTCGTAAAACAGTCCAAAGTCTTTGGTATGCAACAAATAGCGCCACACTCCGATCGCCAACTTTGTTGCAAGAATCGGGTTCAATGTCGCAATGCAAGCAATGGATCCTGTCACTGCTGCAACGTCTGGCCTCGTCTTTAGTGCCAGCCACATCAAAGACCCGATGTGTCCTTGAGCTGTCTTTAAATCATCCTTATACTGGGGAGTGTGTTCCGCTGGCAAAATGGTGCCCTCAGGAACTTCCGGCAGTGACCCACTGGGTTTCAAGTGCAAGAAACCTCGTTGCAAAAGCTCAGCCTCTAGCCAATGCGTTTGATGAATGAACACACTTGCCCCACAACGTCTCAGCTTGCAACCTAGGAAGGTCAGCTCTTGTCGAACGGGGATCTCGACACCCTCAAATGTGTAGACATCCTGATCTTTGAAGTCTTGGCACTCCAGCATTCCTTGGACCTTCAGTGTCCATGACTCCATGAGCGCCTTGGCAATTGCTGCTGTGAGGGCAGGAGGTCCAAACAGGAGTCCGTCGTCCACATACAAGACCACTAGGCCCAGGGGTTCATGAGCTTCGTCGTCCTCGGGGACCACTTTCCATACCCCTGGCTCTAGCCTTACCAGCTTCAGGCGTTGGCCCTCTGGTCCGGCTATCATCTTCGTCTCAACCTCGGCATCTCTGTCACGCTCCCATAGTTTAGGACTTCTCCTCAGTCCGTACAGTGCTCTACGTAAACGCCACCAAACTGATCCACTGACAATTCCACGCTTCACCAGGACTGGCGGAGGAGAAACATACACGTCCTCGCCATGGATCTTGGCATTCAGGAATGCCGCTGACACATCCAAAATGCTCGTTACGAGCTAACAGGCTTGCTCCAATCCGGATGGCCTCAGATCCTGGGTTCAAGGATTGGTTTTCCGGAGCATGCGGCGACGTTCCCTGTTCCCAGTTCCCGCACGCAACCAGCCTTGCCTTAGCACGCCAACCCTTCAACGCAGCAGTGGTAGCAGATGTCTCTGCTTCCACGTCCTCTTGTGGCTTGTCGTCTGGCTTCCTTGTAAGGACGAGCTTTGTTGGGATAGCTTTGACGCCCGCTGGCAGTTGGTCTCGTTCCACTTCATCATACACCTCTTTTTGTGCCAGATTGTCGAGCTCTGTGCCAACACCCTCCGTCAACCACTTGTGCAACTCTTCCGGAGAAGTTCTGGAATCCGTCAAGATTGACTGTGGCACAGACTCAGAAACTTCCAACGCTGCCTGATTTGCAAGTGACTGCTCATGCATGTTCATGGCTTGCTCTATGTCATAGGCCAGAACGAAGTACCGATCACGAGCCTTGTCACCCTTACATTTCAGAGAAGATGCATCTTTGTCTTGCTTTGGCAAGCTACCCAGTGCATGCAAAGCTACTGCCGGTTCTTCTTCAAGCTTCTTCCATAGAATACCATGGTTGAAAAGATTGAAGACTGCCTGCTCATCCGCGCCTGATTTCTCTTGAGCACGCTGTCGGATGATTCGAGTGATTTCATCCTCAGTGGGGCCTCCTATTTCTCCTGTTCTTTCTTCAAGAGTTAGCATGTCTCCAGTTTGCGGAGGCTCCCACAACACTTGCCCAGTCGTTGAGACCCATATGTCACGGCTGCCGTTGGGTTCCAACACCTGCCGCCATCTTGCTCGGGGCTGATCCAACAAAATGGGTAGTCGACATCGCTGCGCACGCAAAACACCGTTGCGTAGCACAAGCACCTTGGCTCCACCCAAAGTTTGCGAATCATGGCAAAGGAAAACTCCAATTTCGGCCTTCTCCACGAACGCTTCGCTGACCTCTCTCTGAATTGCAACTGCATCGCCCATTTGAGGGTTGTCCCCAGGAATCTTCAGCCCAAGCATTCGCTGTCGTCGTAAATACGCAGCTCCCTCCAAGGCTTCCGGCCACCATGCTACACCCAGCTTCGCATGCAGCAGTTGAATGGCAGCTTCAGTCTTTAATAACCCCGCGTGCGCCTCACATCGGCCGTTGCTTTGATGCGAATACGGCACTGCCACAGTTTTGTACAGACCATCCTCAGCCAGTGATTCACATATGTGTGTTTTGCTGTAAATTCTGTGCCAGAATCGCTGTGAACACGAAAGATGCTCGGAACAGACGCCGTCAAGGAGCAGATCTGAGCCAGCACATTCCGAAGGCCAGCGCAAACTTCTGCAGAGGCTTTAGAGCGCAATGGTCGAACATAAGGGAGATTGCAAGCTTCCAAATGTAAAACTGCAACAAGACTGTACTTGAAACCATCACGAGAAACTGGGTACGGCCCTGCAACATCAACCGAAAGTGTGCCTGCAGCCACGTCATCACCAGTCAAACGTCTGTGTGGTCTTCTATGTCCGCGTGCCTTCACACACCCTGGCCATCGGGGCTGATATGCTCCGTGATGGCAACGCTTCCTGAGGTTCTGCAGTAATTGAGCCTCCTCCTCAAATGCATTGCAGGGTTCTAAGTCCAAAGGCCGTTCACCATGAGACCCCACATTCGGCACGGTCGCATCTACTTCCCAAGATGCAGGCACATCAACAACTCCACAAAATCCCTCCTGATCCCACCTGACCACATCACCACACACATCGCAAGCCTCCTCATCCCTTAACCCCGAACCCTGAAAGCTAGAATGATGGGGAAGGGTAGGCTCAGTGTTTGCTGATTGTTCTGATGTTGCTGCGCTGCTTGCTTGAATTTGCTGCGGCTTGTCTCCTCCCGTTGGAAAACCAAAACGCTCCAGCTCAGCTTCCAGTTGCGCTGGAACCCTTGATGTTCCTCCAGGACTGAAACCAACTAAGATCACTCGACTGCCAACAAAGGCTTCAGTGCCGTGCCAACGCTTGGGATCAAAGATGCACACATCCTGCGCCGTGGTCTTTAGTCGACCTGGCCTCTTTGGCTTGTCCTCCGCCGCTCGGCGCCACACCACGTCCTCTGGATGTTCCTCAGCCTCAGCCTGAGACACTTCAACCCAGAGCTCCCCTCCCAGGCAGGGAGTTATCCCTAGCACCGTGTTCAAGGTACCAGCCTCATTTCGCAGGTCTTGATGCGGTGCCAAAACCGTATTCACAGATAGCGACACCGCTGAAAATGTGCTCTCAGGGGAGTGGTGATGCAGCGCAGTTGCAAGATACTTTGTAAGCTGAGGTCTTCGGAGGCTAAGCGAAGTAATGCCTGGGCAAGGACCCCGAGTAAACAATCCAAAATGCCAGATTCCGCTATCAGAAATGACGTCGTCCACGACTACTTCTTTCCGAAGTCTATTCCGACTGGCATTCCCACGAAGCTGAGCAGATTCAATTACCTGCTGCACGCTATCAAAGTCAAAGGCCTGATTCTTCAAAGCTCGCGCAGCCTCAGCCTCTCCACTGATAATCTCACTTCCATGAACTGCTGAATGTGCCATGCTCTCATGCTCTTCCTGATGGAACACGTGATGCACATATTCATCAGGGGTCAGGATCACAATCTCTTGCTTGGCGCTTGATGAGCTGTCGATGCTGCTGACACAATGTTTCCCTGCGGCCTTCCACCTTTGGCTAAGCAGGACTCTCACATGTTTAAAATCCTCCCACTCCATATATGGCAGGTTGTTCCTGATTGTCACATTGGCCTTGCGCCGACCTCCGGACTTCACAGGGACCCACACTTCCGGAACATCAGATGTCCAGCTGACCGCTCCTCCAATCTTGATCAGGCTCCGCATTGGCAGAATCCACTCGTTTGCGCCTGAGGGAACCGCGACTTCACCGTCTTTGGTACGCCAGGCTACCACGCGATCTCCATTCGCAACCTGCAGGGTCAATTCTTTCATCCGACTGGTGTTCATTGTAGTCGTGATGGGACGGATGACCTCATTTGCTCCGGAGTCTAACAAAACCAATGGTGGCTGATCAAAATTCCCTGCGATGGTGTTGGCAGCGGCCCCTTCTGTAACCATCGCTGCTGCAGCTCTGGCTCCAGATGCCATTGACATTACAGCCTTGGCCTGTGCACTTGCCTTTGGGTCTGCCTTAGACTTTGCTGCGGCTTGATTTGCACCAAGAAGCTGTGGCGACGCTGGAGTGGCCTGATTCGCTGCTTCATGCTTGTCTGCAGACGCTTGGCTCTGCTGTCGATCCTTACCTTTATCTTGCCCTTTGGGGTTGCTAGGTTTTCCGCCCTTAGGATTCCCATTAGTCTTGCCACCCTTAGACTCGCCCTTAAACTCGCCCTTAGAGGTCTTTCCTTCCCCTTTAGTAGTGCTCTTACCCCCACTACCGCGACCTGTCCCAGGTGCATTCCGACCCTTGCCTTCATGCGCGAAGGGACAATCACGACCGCGTGTGCAACCTCCAGGCGTGTTCCAGAAATGGCAAAGACCTTTGCTGGCCTTCAGGGGTGGTGTTTGATCTGCTGTAGCTCTGCTTCCGCTGGCATCTACAGTCTTGGCCGCTCTCAAAGACTCTTCAGCTGCAAAAGGCCTGAGCTCCTGCTCGATAGCATTGATCATAGCTTGGATCCCCTCTGCAGTTGGTCGCTGGACGTTCCCTGTCAAACGCAGCAGCGACATGCGTGTTTGCAAAGTGGCGTACTTCTTCTCCAGAGACTTAATCAATGCTCCCAATGCTCTGGCCTCCTCACTCGGTGCAACGGATGGAACGTTGAGTTGGCCAAGTCTTGTCCTCGCCAGCCTCCAGCGTCTCAGGACCTCCAAACCATCTCTGGCTGTGTTCACGGCAGATAAGCCACGAATGTATGCCAACAAAGCCCTTACCTCTTCCTCGCCTCCTGGGCGATGAACTTCAAGGAGACTTTCCCGCAAGGTAACGGGAAGGATGTCCATTGTGTCAGCGCCCTCAAGCACTGGAGTTTGCGAATCTTGCGGCAAAGATCTCATCAGTGCTATGGTTAAGCGGTTCTGGATTTCAAACAGCTCGCTACCCACTGACGCTGGCTCTTCAAGACTCATCTCCCTTGGACTCTCCTCTCGTGCCTCTGCTCAGCCTCCAAAAACACTGCCTCCATCCGCTGGTGCACATCCTCCCGAACTGTTCTACAGACCTGAAGAAACTGTCGCTTCCAAGTAGTAATTGTCATGTTCACTTCCCAGGCTTCTCCTTTCAAGGGACCCAGCTTGGGAACATCATTTAGAAGCTTCCACCGTGCGTGTGGTATGTCGTCTCTGGCAGGCCTCATCCCACCATCCACAGGTTGCCGTCGCATTTCCACCGGCACCGGCGGAGGTGGATTCTGCAGCAAATCCGGGAGCAGCCCTGGCGGTCCTTGATCCGAGACTGCCGCCAGTCCTCCTGCCCCCGCTTGCCAATCGTGGTGCCACCAATCATCCGCGACTGTCCCAGGCTGCTTCTGAGCATGCGACGGTAGCTGATGTTCTGTTGGCTGTTGCTCTGCTGGCGCATGTTGCTCCTGCGACTGCTCTGCTCCAAGCTCAGGTGTCAACATGTAGTACTGCGTTCGTTGTTTGCGTTCTTGCTCTGGTGCCGCCTGGACACGTTTCGGAAAATTCTGTGGATCCACCAATCTGAATGTTTCCACTTCTCGCCGAAGATCCTCCAGCGTAGCTCTCTGTCCAGTCATGACGGCCTTCTGCTCCCTCAAGACTGTGCTGATTGCATCTAAACGACCGTCCACGTGCTGACAGTCGTACGTGGCTTGACGTGCCAAGTCCTCAGCCTGATGAACTCGATCTGTCAGACCTTGTCGGTCGCTTGTCCACCCCCGCTGCACTTCCTCTAGCTGCGCCACCATCTGTCTGTAACTCAAATCTGCAGTCTCTGAGCTACCCATGGCCATGCCTTCAAGTGCAACGAGACGTGTCTTCAACATAGTCAGCTCATCGGCCAACGCGTCCATCTTTGTTCCAAACTTGGTCTCAAGCTGCGACAGCCTTTCTCCAAGTTGGTCCCACTTCGCATCCTGAGTCTGTTCGAACTGATTCAAAAGACCCATCAGGTTTGTGAACTCGCTCCCATTGACCCTTGCAGCAGTCTGAACTCTCGAAAGCAGTTCCTTTTGGACTTCTCCTTGAGCAGCAAGGTATTCCACTGCCTCTCTCAGACGATCAGTCCGCTGAGTGACCAGTTCAGCAACATCGCGCACCAAGTGCAAGGTTCCTGCGCCCTGCGACTCACTCACTTGCCTCTCCAGTTCCGTCAGGCGATGCAACAACTCAGAAGGTAATGCCATTTCAGAGAACTGCAAGGTCTGCGTCACCGTTCGAAGCCGTGCCAGTGTTTCAGGGCTGCCAACGCCTTGATTGATGCTTTGTTGCAGCTGGCTGGTCATGCTGCTGAGTGTTCGCGGCTGCTGCGGATGCGGTGTATGCGGAGTTCCAACCAGCAGGGAGCTGGTTGGGCTCATAACCTGCTGTTGCAAGTCTGCATGCTGTTGCCGCTGAGGTGTCTGCTGAGGGCTAGGGGAAAGGGCTACAGAATACACCTCATCAGATTCCATCCCTCCAAAACCCCTAACTCACAAAAAGCCTGCATCCCAAGGCTTTTCAGCACTAGATCTTGAGCCATCATGTCGATGGCATAGTTTATGGTTAAGTCGCATGCCACCTCGGTACACTTCTCTGAAGTGTGTCATCCTTGCGCATGGGTCATCCGCATGAGCATTCACACCTTTATTAATGGTTTAGTATACTCCTTAATAGATTCCCTAGTAAGGAACCCATGTCCCTGAAATTGCGTAGGAAATATTGACTGTAGGTCACATGATGGCCTCATGCCAGTGAACTACACCTGCGGGATAGATCCGATCGTATGTAAATATAAGTATTTTTTCTGGGTTGCGCTTTGAGGAAAACGGGAGGGGGGATCGCTGGCTACCTGCCCCCACAGGCCGCGAATCCTGGGCCCTGAATTCTAAATGGCGCTAGAGAGCCTGCAACAGCCAACCAAAAAAACTTGACAACCTTGCAAAGTTTCATGACAATCTGGAACGCGCCCCCACATCCGTGAGAACACCTAATGAGACCTTCAAGTAGGAAGGGCCTGCAGTTGAGCACGCTCTGTGCTGCCGGCTGCTCGCTTCTCACCTTCCAGTTCACAGAGTGGTCTGCAGCTGCGACTTGCTCGCTCTAGGGTGGCGTTCAGGTTATTTGAGGGGTGAGTTTTTGTGGGCTGACATCTATTGAAGTGTCCAGAAGGAAGGGATGTGTTTGGGATGCCGTTGCCACCGTCCAACAGGAGCATAGCAAGAAGTCCCTCTTGCTGGTGACAGTACTGTATGTTTGATTTTGTTCTAGTGATTCTGGTGACCTTAGAGTGAATCTTCTGCTTCTCGTCTTCCATCAAGTCTAAATTTCTATCTGGTTTTCTTTGCTTTGTCTTTATCACCACGTGTTTCTCACAGGGGCTCTCAATGAGACAGGCCATCGCGCTCACCTTCAGCGGCTTGCTGCTGCTCCTGTCCGCGAGCTCTGTGGTAAAGACCCTCGGCGTCCAACCAATCAAGATCCTTTAGGAATCATCCATGCATTGCTTCGGGTGCGGGGCCTCTACATATTCCTTCGGGCACTACGCCCGGGCATCAGTAATGAACGAATTATTTTCCTAATGTTCGGTAGAAGAGTGCATCCCTGTGTTGCTTCCTGAAATGGCACGTTTTGTACCCTCAAGCCCTGCAAGCAAGGAACTATGCATATGCGCTGGCGCCGAAGATTGTAGCACCAATTTTCAAAGATCGGGCTGGCACTCTGAATATGCTGGCCCTAACTTTTGGTCGAGCTGTTGGGGCGCAAATTGGGGTGCTCCTCGACTCCTATTCTTTTGGAGCCTTTTTGCTTGGCACCTACTCTTTGCTGTTTTCGCTCATTTCTGTGTTTGGCTCCGGCATGAGGCAGCATGCCAAAGCCATTTGACCGGTGTTTGTTCATGGCCCTTTTCTTATACATGTTGTGCAAACGCCTGCAAGCCTGCAACCTTGTGCGTTGGCTACGGAATTTCAATAAATCTGTTGCTCCTCTGTGTTGGAGCGTGCATGGTTCCACCCACGCGAAGTGTTGGTGGATCCATTTAGGGTGTCTACGAACCTAAAGCTTCGTTGCCGGGGTCATGAAGCGTTCGAACAGGAAGGGTTCTACTTCTTAGCCATGTGGCAGTTATAGGGGACCACCGGATTTTGAGACACAGTCTTACCCACGGAGTTGCCATGAGGGGACCTCAAAAAAAACCATTAATGTCCGTCTCTGCGTGCAACTCTCCCTCTGAAGCCGACGCGGCGGATGCAAGATGAGCTTGCTTTCGTCAGACCCAACGGATTTGACATTGCATTTTGCATACACAGGATCTGATGGTCGGGACTTGGGCTCTTGCCTTAAGAACGAGCTTCGGATGAAAGTAGAGGTTGCAGAGGCAATGGTGGCCGCTCTGTAGGGTTCGAACGTTTACTGGACATGTCATGCGATGGGCTACATCAAAGCACAGCAAGTGCCATTCAATTCATTGCACCTTCTTGTAGTATCTTATAGTCGGAAATTGAGATTGAGAGGAAAGAGATGCCTCGTATGTCATAGTGTGCTGAAGTTAGGATCCTGAGTATCTGAAGAGGGCGTAAGTGAGCTTGTGCGAAGGTAGCAGGCATACAAACCATCCTTTCGAACGGCAAGATTTATTTGGCGAGGTGAGGCTCCAGGAATGTAGATGCTAGGTACTTAAAGCACGGGCGTGCATAGAAGCATGCCCAGTGGATGCAGCCAGCTGCAAGTCTTTGAGCGTTGTGATTTACAGCGGCACTCTTCCCTCTCTAAATCTGACGAGCGTTGAGACCAATCACTGACCACTCTGGTTTCGGGTTCATAGGAGGACCAGGTTTGTTTCGGTGTTCCCTTGTGGTTCCAGAACCTGAAGAGAGCCCGGAAAAGGTGACCCTTGACCCGAAACCCAGATCCTGTGGTTCTGCTTGCCTGCCTTTGACATGCCTTTCACCAAGTGATCGCACTTTTTGGCTTTCTTTCGTTCGGCCACGCGTGTGTACAGTTGGGCTTTTTTACCCTTCTTTGAATGGTTTTTTCGCCCATTTTCCTACGCTGCGCCTGAGTGTTGTGGTCCCTTGGCAATGGGAAAAGTGCCGAATTCGACAGTGAAACAGGTGATCAATTCGAAGCCCAGCAGGTCCTGAGACCCCAACACAGCGGAACAAGACCCAACGCAAGCCAAGCAGTTTGTGCTGAACTCTCATAATATCGCATTCCACCGCAGCAAGTCTGAGCTCAGTAGAGCTACGACTCCAAACTTTATAGTCCACTTCTACCGATCCGTGGCCATCTGAAACTGTGGCCACAGCCATGAAGTTTAACACTTTCCAGGCCGGCTTCAGCTTCAGGGTCCTGTGCTCATTTTTGTGGGTTGTGTTCGGCCTTTAATGTTCCACTAGGGAGGCGACAGGAATCACTGGAATCTTTTTCTTAGGTTCAGGCTGACGCTCGATTTGGTTTGACCTCCTTGCAGTCAGCTAGTGTGCTTGGGACCTGTCTTTGCAAACAGGGGCACATGGTCAAACCAAACTAGGCGCGAGGACTCAGAGCACCCTTAGGCACTTATCTTGACGTTTTGAATAAGGAGCGCGAGACCTATTGTGAGGGTCTGAGGGTTCGTAACGAGCGGCAAGGTCCGGTTGGCATTCCTGTCAGAGCTGAACATTGACTGCCCCAACACCGGAGCATGCAAAATATATAGGAGCTTGAGGAAATTACTTATAGGTATGGAAATAACTTCGAAACTCGGCCAGCAACAACTTCCGGAAAATGGTTCCCACTGTGCAAGCAGAAGCTCGCGGACGCTTTGGCGGAAACACTTCGCTTGCGGAAGCTCTTGCGGAAGCTCTTTTCTCTGGGCGGATGACGCCGGGGACTAGAAATCCCTTCCGTGGAAGCGCCGCGGAAGTACCTTAGACAAAAACGTCCGCGGAAGAGCCCGCGGAAGCACAGCATCTGAAAACCTGCTCACAGTCCTCGCGGAGTACTCGCGGAACGCGCAAGCTCGCGGGCGGAAGCTTCCTTATTCCAATTAGATTTCTAGACTTGTTTTGGCCGCTCACCTGCAGATTATGTAGATTGCAGATGTCGCAAACATCCTGTTTGCTAAGCATACGGCGCCTGGATATTGGGGTCTTGGATTTTGCAGACCCAAAATCCTTTTCGCGAGGTCTGCAGAGGTCCTGCCTCGCCCCAACGTCATGAAATTGGATGCAATGCTAGCATATCACTGGAGTCGCCTTCAGCCGAGTTGGCACCGTTTAAGCATATGTACGGCAAGCGTAAGATGCGCTTAATGTTTATCCTTCGGTGGGCCTTGGTACAAGACGTGCCGTCAGCATAGGTTCTTCAGATTTCTTCAGGACATACGACAGATTTCTTTGGTGCTCCCGCTTGGCACGTCTTGAGCGGAAAAGACCGGGCCACCTCGCGTCCACACAGTCGAACCCTTCACCCTCGATATGCTATATCATGGAGATGTTGCGAAGCCCTGAGTTCTTCTAACCTTGCTGCAGCAACCCTCGGCATCTTGCCAGGCCCAACATCCGACCCGCCGTCCAAAAGTAACACTGCCGTGCTCAGGGTTGCTGTTGTGGTCGTCCATGTGCGAAGGTAATGGCTATGTCATTATGTTTGTTTTGGATTCAATACAGTAAGCTTGTCCATGACTGTCGAAGGGTGTTTATAGAGTTTTTACTAGGCGCCAGAGCAACAACAGCAACAAGTATTGCTGAAACGAGCGCTTGACATGCAGGCGATGGTCCCAGTGGTGCTGGGAGCAACCTTCGCCAATAATTGTGAGGCAGACTTGGCGGCAGAGGCTGAATCCGTTTCTAAGGATTTTAAGCGGAATCCAGATTGCAAGGCTCAGATCAAGGCCCAGACGTTTGCGTTCGCGCGGTGCGCATTTTTAGCGAGCATCTTCCGAGCTCTTCAAATTGGATTTGCGAGCTGAAGCATGTGACATTTCGATTCTTGCAATGGATATGTACCAATCAGAACGAACGGTGTCTATATCATGACTCGCAATTTTTTGGGCAGAGCTGTGCATGGCTAATTTTTGTGGGGCGAGAGCAGGAGTCCGAAGTGCACCGTTCCGGCTCAACGTAGCGTATGACTAGTGCGTATGTTGAGCAACAGCTCAGACAAGTATGCAGACGCTTTAAGGGAAGTTGAAATTCAGGCTGTTGGGAGGCGAGTGGCTAGGTTTGGGGTTTAAGGTTAGGTTGGAGCCGGGCATCGCGCCTCGGAAATGATCATGCAAATCTTTCTTGCGTGTTCCGGGCTGCATGGTCCACTCCACACTTAGTGCTTACCAGTGCGGAGAGGTCAAGGGCTCTGTCAGGTAACAGGTTTGGCGTTTCCTGAGCCGCCTACCTTGTTTGAAGAGTTAGGTTTTAAGCATAAGGAGGATAAAGTTGGATGATGGCTTAGTCTGTCAAGAGCCCTTCTCCAGCAAGCCCACGCGCAGCTGCTATGGCATCAGGGTAGAGGTCAGCATTGCTGGTGCGCAGGAGCTTCCGGAACATGTCTAGGCCGCACAATTTTTCTGAGAAAAACGGTGGCCACGCGGTTTTCAGGCACTGGAGCCAAGACCCATTTTAGACCTTGGATAAGGTCGAAAGCTGCAAAGCTGCTGAGGTTACAGGTTCGAGCTTCTCCTAAAGTCCATGTTTTTTGGACTTATCGAAAACGATAACCCTGGACTCAAGACTTAGCCCTACATCCAAGAACCTCTTCCACGTAGGTGGCAACCGGCCGTGTTCTACTCCAAGCCCGCCATGACCATGTCGAGAAGACAGCGCTGGAGGAGAACGTCTTGCAGGCGAAGCCTCGCAGGGAGATTCAACAGGGTTTCGCTAGGTGCATGATGGAAATTATGCTACATCTTGCCTTTCATTGCAGGGACCTTGGACCTCTTGAGAGCTACTACGGCAATCTTGCAGTAGTCTGCCTGAGAGATTTAACAGCCGTCGGGATTAGCATTTTGAGGTTCTGAGGGTGAAGCTGGGGGATTCGGACTTCAGGTCATCGACGCTTTTGGAGCTTGATGGGTTCTGACGTGGAGACGCAGCATCGAAGCTTGAGATTTTGAGATTCGGGGCGGCAGCTACAGGGGCACGCTGGGAGAGAAGGAGGGAGTGATGGCTGTTTGTCACCACTTTGCGCAACTTAACGCGTAGGCTACCCAATGCCGCAACCCTGAAATCCCAAAAGCCGTGTTCTTAAGTTTTTAGCAAATTCAAAGTCCATCCAAAGCAAACTTCTTGTTTCTGCAGGCCATGGAACAGCTTCAGGGGACCGTCACGAAGGACTTCTTGTGCTTGTTGCCTGCCGATCACGAAAGGATTTGGGCTTGCGAGTTTGTGGCTCGTAAAGTCTGTACCTCAGGTGTGGAGGCTCCAGGACTGGAAGTGTCAGAAGCCCTAGCCTTGCAGATCAACGCTCGGATCCATGCCAAGCTCTCCAAAGAACCTTTGAGAATCCATCAGAACTAAAAATCTTACTTTCTTGGCATAGACCAGAACCTCGTAAACAAGATCCCTGAGCCTTGATCCCAAAGTAGCCCAGCTCAATTTGCTTGCTGTGTGAATGGAGTGTCTTCGTCTTGGATTCTTTTCTCCCTCTGATGTCATTGCTGCAGCAACCTTTGCTTTGACTTGCCGGTTGAAGGGTTTGGAGTAATCAAGCATCATGCGATGAAGTTTTCAGGTTTACTGTTCAGAGCTGGCCTGGGTCATGCCATATTGGTTGTTTCGTTGATGGATGATTTGCCTAACCGGAGCCATGCGGACTTGCGGATGCATACCTCCAAGTTGTGTGTTTCTCTGCTGAAAGAAAACAGGCCTTCCCGCACGGCTCATGTTCTGATTTTTAGCATGTAG